TCTCTACAAAAACTATAAAAATTAGCCAGGTGTGGTGGCATGCACCTGTAGTACCAGTTACTTGGGAGGCTGAGGTGGGAGGATCACCTGAGCCCAGGGAGGTCGAGGCTCCAGTGAGCCGTGATCACGCTACTGCCAGTCTGGGTGATGCAGTGAGATCCTGTCTCAAAACAAACAAACAAACAAACAAAACCCAAATATTTTTGATATACTGGGTTAAATAAAATCAATTATTATAATTGATTCCACCTGTTTCTGTTTAGTTTTCCGTAACTAGAAGATGTTAATTTACCTATGTGGCTTACCTTGAATTTCTATTATTGAGTGCTGGTTCAGATATGCATGAGGAGTAATAGCAGGGTGGAATTTGGAATTTATAACATGACACAGAGCTTGTGCCTCAATTCTCAAGTGAAAGGGTACATGCCCCAAGCCCAGCCAAGCGCCCCACTCTCCCACCGTGGGGGTTGGATTCCCATGCTCACCTGTTGTACAGCTGCTGGGAGCTGAATGTATAAAGCACATAGAGGGTGTTCCCCGCCAGAAAGGCCAAGATCCACAAGATGACCAGTACCGACCTCTTCTCCTAAGACAAAGCAAGACATCTGTGATATCAAAGGTGGATGTGGCAGAACCTTCCAGAATGTACCCTGACTGGCAGCTTTTCACTTTGTCAACGTTTTGAAGGAAGTGATGCTGAAGGTGAAGGGAAGGGCATTGGAACCTTTCCATTCCACTGAGACCCAAGCGGTGGTCACGGAGAAGGTGGCAGAATGGTGGACATCTGCTTGAGAAACTATCTAGAAAGGCAAGAGAGCAATGTGGTTCGCAGCAGACTAGAGCTGGATGGCACACATTCAAATCCCTGGTCAAATCCTGTGTGGGAGCTGTCCAACTCCAGGCAAGTTATTTAAACTCTTTCAGTTTCCCTTTCCTCATCTGTAAAATGGGTATATCTTAGTATCTACCTTAAAGAGTTGTAAGAATCAAAGTACATAAAATGCTGTTAAGAACTAAAGCACAGAGAGGTTAAGAAACCTCAAGGGCATGAGTCTTCATTTGAAAATGGAGTTGTTGTTAAAGATTAAATCAAATTTTTAATTTTAATTTTTTTTCTGTTGCCTAGGCTGGAGTACAGTAGGGTGATCATAGCTCACTGTAACCTTGAACTCCTGGGCTCAAGTGATCCTCCTGCCTCAGCCTCCTGAGCAACTAGCACCACAGGCAGGTGTCACTATACTTGGCTAATTAAAAAAAAAATTTTTTTTGTAGAGACAGAATCTTGCTATTTGGCTCAGGCTAGTCCTGAACTCCTCACCTCAAGTGATCCTCCTGCCTTGGGCTCCCAAAACACTGGAATTACAGGCAAAAGTCACATTTTTAAATGCAAACATTCAGTCTGGTACAGATTCATATTTGAAGCTTGCTAAGCAATAGGACTGATTATTAAGAGTTTATAACTCAGCAGAAGATTCGGATCTAGAGGTTGCAAATTTCTGCTTTCACTTTTTCTAGGACAGACCTCTAGCCCACTGCCCTGGACTGACCGTTCCATGGAGCACCACAGTGTAGAATTAAATTCAAACTTATACACCTAATTCTCAAAGCCCTTCACAATCCAGCCCCATTTCTCCTTCTTCAGCCTCGTTCCTGTCTAGTCCCCAGGAAGACAAATTGGAAATCCTCAGTTTGCTGTTTCCCAGCAGTTTCATAGCCTTAGAGCAATCCTAGGAAATGTCTGAAGGAGATGCAAAGAGGGGCATGTTCCTGCCTATGTACCCTGGGACACACAGGCAGACCCCTCTGCTGTTGATTCTCAACAGCTCATGTCTTTTCTTGGACTGGAGTGGCTACATTGCTGGAATAAGATGAGGTCATAACTTTCCCAGTGCAACCTTCCCTGTGGTTTCGGTAAATGCTCATACACACTGTCTCCAGACACAGCTCGGTGCCCCACGCACTGTTACGACGCACATTTCCAGAGAGTGGACGAAACAAATGCATCTCCATCCACCCATTATTCCAGGAGCGGTCAAGGTTAATGACGCTAGAAACTACCTCCAACCAACCAACTGCTCTTATCAATGTGATTAATCCACCCGGTAGCTCTTTTTACTCCAATAAATAATAGATTCCAGTTTAATTCTCTATGAATCCAAACCAAAGGTGGAATAGGAAGAGGGAATTAGCAATGTTCTGGGAAGACAGAATCTGAAGGACAAAGGAGGTAGTTTTCTCCTAATAAGCTGAGATGCCTACGCTTACTAAGGGCCATGTGGACCTGCTCTTATGGAACATATGCACACACAGGCAAAGTGTCACCTATGTCTTCATGAGGATCAAGGACCCCTGGAGGCCCGTCCATTGATACAGAGATCCTCTCAGCTCCTAAAATTTAAGTAATGGTGCCACTTGGATGTTACTGCATTTGAGAGAGACCTAGCCCCCAAAGCTGCCTCCTACTGTTTTTGTTTGTTTTTGAGATGGAGTTTCGCTCTTGTTGCCCAGGCCAGAGTGCAATGGTACAATCTCGGCTCATTGCAATCTCTGCCTCCTGGGTTCAAGTGGTTCTCCTGCCTCAGCCTCCCAAGTGGCTGGGATTACAGGCGCCCGCCACCATGCCCAGATAATTTTTGTATTTTTAGTAGAGATGGGCTTTCACCATGTTGGCCAGGTTGGTCTCGAACTCCTGAACTCAGGTGATCTACCTGCCTCAGCCTGCCAAAGTGCTGGGATTGTAGGCGTGAGCCACTGTCCCTGGCC